CGCCGGCGCGGCGGCGGCGCTGCGCCACCTGTGCGGCGGAGGCGGCGCCGCCGCCGCCGCCGCGGCGTGCCCCGCCGAGCTGCCGCCGTCGGGCGTGTGGCCGCTCATGCCGGCCGCCGCGCGCGCCGCCATCGAGTGGGCGTGGGAGGGGCACTTCTCCCTATTCGCCCGCGATGTGGCCTACGCTGTGGAGGGCCCTGGGGACGCCGACTCCCGCGCCTGCCTGCTCGAGTCGCTGCTGCGCTTCACCGCCGGCTGCGCCATGACAGACACCGCGCTGCACCTGCTGCACGCCTGCGTGCGCGGCGGCGTCATCGCGCTCGTCGCGCCGGGGCCCCCGCGCGCCTTCGCTTTCGAGCGCGCCGTGAGGGCCGCCGGCGTCGGCGGCATCGGCTTTGTGGCCGCCAGCTGCGTCGGCGACCTGCCCGGCGCGCCTCGCCGCGCCGCCGCCGCCGCCGCCGTCGGCTCTAAGGCCTTCCCCGCGTCCGCCGCGCGCGGCGGCGGCTCGGCGGCGCCACCCGCGGCCGCCACCTCCCACGGCCTGCCGCGCCTTGACCTGCGCACGTGCGTGGGCGCCGGCGCAACGCCGCTCGCCGCGCTGGCCGTGCTCCTGCTCGCCCTGCTGGCGTGGCTTGTGCTGGCTCGGGCGCCTGCCGCGGCGCTCGCCTAGCGCCCTTTGGCCCTCGCGCCGGCCCCGCCACTTGCGACTCTGAAGCCGGCGCGCGAGCACATGCACCCCCCCCCTCGCCGCGCGCAGCGCGTGCGACCCCACTCCCTCCTGCTCCACATGCCACAGCACGCCTCAAGAGCGTGCACACCCCCACCCCTCACGTGCATCCACCGGCCTTGCCATCGCGTTTTGGGGGCCTGCCTCCTCTGGCCTCGTTCCCCCCTATTCTTCAACAAACGATCTCCCCTCATTTGTTGTACGCAAGCCCGCGCGCCACTGGCGCCACACTGCTCGCCGCGCGGCTGGTGATTCCGCCCCCACATTTGCGTCCCCGTGCAACCCCGACTGTGGCACACACGCCGCGCCGCAGCAGAGCCCTGGATTCAGAGGTTTTACTACGCGCCAGCTGCTACTAATCGCACCTGCCAAGCTACTTGCCGCTCGAGATGGCGCCCAAAGAATACGCCAGGACACAGCGCTTTGCCGTCGAAGCCGACACCGGGCGGGCCACGGCCCCTGTTATTCTGTGCTGCCCAACCCCCTGCACGACTCTTGCACATGTGTGCGGGCGCAAGGTCCCAGATCCGGCACACTTCCAAGGAAGACACGCGCTCCCGCCGCTGGTGTCACTGTTTGCGCCGTCACTGTTTGCCCCGTCACTGTTTGCGCCGTCGCTGTTTGCGCCGGGACCCCGCCTTCAGACTAGGCTGTGCCCGTGCCTTTGCTTTGCTTTGCTTTGTGTGTTGTTGCCCACCGCTTGCCAGATTTGTACCCTTGGGCAGGCCATACCACCACCTCGCGCTGCGACACAGCAGCACCCATGTGCGATTTCAGGATTACCTGGTACATCGTCCAGCAGGCTGTGCCTTCACGCGCACATCCCAATGCCTGACGCTGGTCTCCAAGCCGCCCAGCCGGCGCGCATCAATTTACTCCCACCCCCAATGCGTGCGTGTACCACTGCGTGCGCATTCAAATGTTGTGCGCTTTCCAGAATTACGCGCATCCCAGAATATGCGCGTGCCTTGCCGTGTTTTTGCTGACACATGTGAGGGCAGGCAGCTCAGACAACCGCCGCGCGCTTCGCACCCTGCCCCAGCAGCGGGCGACGCGCGGCGCTGCCGCCCGGTGGCGTGTCGCCCAGTGCGCGCGACACGGCACTTGGCTGCCAGCAGCTTCTGGCCGTGCATGGTCCTTTGCGCTCATTTGCCTGGAGCCATGCTTTGTGGGATAGCGTGCTGTGGGATCTGCAACCATAGTCACTGTTGTGTATGCATACAGGGCGCACTGCCCTTTGCCGCTTTGTTTAGATTTTTGAGCCTTGTTTCAACTTGTCCGGGCCAGGGATGCGCCGCGCCATGCTCTGTGGGGGACATTGCCCCTGCAGGGCAGCTGAAAGCGCGGAGCCAGCTGGCCGGCATTCGGCACGTTTGAATGCGATTGATTGTGGTTGATGGTATGTTTGGAAAGTATGCCTCTCGTTTTGCCTTAGGCCCCGCACAAGTGTGGTCCCAGTCATATATATGTGGCGGCGGCGTGCGGCAGCGGTCCAATTTGCGGCAGGCACCTATGGATCCCTTATGGACAGCCACATGCACATGCTGGCAGACCTCGTTCGCTGCGTCTGTTGCGCGCAGTAAGTGCAACGCTACCCCCCCCCCCCTATTGCGGCCTCGGCAAATTCGTTCCAGCAGCGACTGCTGCTCAACCGTTCACACCAACTCACACTTGTGAGCGCTCGCAGTGTGGCTCTGCGCCACGCCGACATCTGCACTCCAATCACGCACCTTCTTTGCATGTAATTGTCATCGTCAGAAACTCTTTGGCAGGCCCAGCGCTGGCCCTTGCCAAGAGGGGAGGCAGCGGGGTTAGAACCTGGCAGGAAGATGGGATTTGTTGTGTTGTGTGGGCTGACAAGTTGTGCAGCAATCTGTCCAGCAAATAAACCCTGGCGAGGAGACTGGGCAGTCTCCTCGCCAGGCTGGAAACCCTAACAGTGTCACCAGAGCTGCCCGCCCTGCCAGTGCTGCCGCATGGAGAAATACTTGCTGACATGCCATCAAGGCAGGCCCACCACCGGCTGGGCCTGGGGCTCTGCTCACTCCACAATTACCTCAGTAGGTGCAAAGCTGAGTGAAGAAAGCACGCCGCCGCTCGCCGCAGCGCTGCTGCTATTGCGCACTGTTGTGCTCTGGCGACTCATTCAGACCAATCCTGGAGGCCTCCAAGCAAGCAAGGGGCTCATGAGCGGCAAAGCCGCCAGCTGTTTGGCGCCATGCAATTGGGTTGGGGCGCTGAGGGAGCATGACTAAAAGAAACCTTGCTTGATCGGAGCAAATCCAGACTGGCTGGGTGCGGACGTGTGTGCGTGTGCATGGGCTTGGCCTCTATGTAGGGAGGCTGCCTGACAATCGGTGGCCAGTCACCACGTACCGTGGCTGTGGCCGATTTTGTTTTGCCTGTCGGGAGTGAAACCTCTAGGGGTGCAGACCAAGGCAGTTGAGCACCTCCCCTGCCTTCCTAAGACCATGCAAAGGAATAAATGTCTGTCAAACCTTGTGGTGCATCCCAGTTTTTTGCAGCACTGCGAGCGCCTCGTTGCAATCCACTGGCACTGCAACGTACCTTGCACTGCACTGCATGAATTTACTGCAATTCATTCAACTCGACTCGCATTCAGTCTGCTTTCACCCAGCATCCATTTCTATTCAAGGGCATGCATGAAGTCATCACAGACTACTGCCTCGCGTCACCACTTCAGCTTATGGTACAGCCGACTGCAGCCGGCCCGCGGCGGCCGCACTGCGCCACCGCTGCAGCCCATTGCGGCCGCACGCGCCGCGTCCGCGGCCACGATCCTGCCCCACACCTCTGAGCTGATCACTGATTCCCAGCGGTACAACGCCTCTCCAGTTTCTGGGTGGCTGCCGATCACGGGATGCCCCGGCTGCCACGACGTGTCGGCGACACACCATTCATAATTCGCCGCGCAGACGCTCGCCGCTCCCGCCTCGTCGCTCTGCACGCGGCCGGCCCGCATCTCCGCCGCGAGCGCATGGAGCAGGCGGCGGCTGGCGCGGCACGCGTGGCGGTAGCTGCGCCACACGTCGCCGCGGGCCGCGTCGTTGCGGACGGCAAACCAGCGCCAGCCGTCGTCCGCCTTCTGAATGTTGAACGACACCCAGTCCGGCTCTGCAGCCCTGCTATCGGCTGCCCCCGCACAGCCGCCGGCCCCCTCCCCGAGTGGCGTGCAGCTGCCGCCGCCCATGCTGCTGCCGGCGCTGCTGCTGGTGTTGCTCGCGCCGGCCGCGTCGCCGCGCAGGGTGCTGGTCAGCGCGTCCACTATGTCCCCTGTCCAGCCGACATCCAGCTCGACCAGCCAGATATGCTGCGCCCAGGGCGGCAGGGCGGCCTCGCCGCGTGCCAGGAACCTGCAGCAGCGGCAGGGGGGGTTGTAGAAAGCGTAATGCTTTGCACAGCTGCTGGGCAGAAGGTGATGGCTTGCATATGGGTGGCAGCAATGACCGCCTGAACCGCATACATACAGGCCTGCAAACAGCCACTCTCCTGTTGCCGTGCCCAACCCTGGTGGACACCTGCCCAAGCAGTCAAAGTGCTGGCCGGCCCTCGCTTCCCTTATTACGCACTGCAAAGCATCCCTGGATGCATGCGCAAGTTCAGCAGTGCCACGGCTGACACGCACCAGGCAACATCTACGGCGTCATTTGTGGCCCAAGCCCACTCCTGCTCCCCAAACACCCGCCGCTGCTCCGACAGCAGCGCAGCCCCGAGCGCCTCCCTGACGCCATCTGCGCCGACGGCAAAGACGGCGGCGCCGCCCAGGCCGTGCCACAGCATCTCGAGCTCGACGCGCCATTTCTCATTTTCGGGCTCGGTCAGGGCTGTCAGGTCAGCTGGGTGGACGCTGTATATCAAATTGTAGCTGCCGCCGGCCGCCTCGACCTGCTCCTTGGCGACGAGCGCCGCCTGCATTCCCCTGATGGTGAGCGAACCGGCGCGCGCCTTGTGGACAAACGCAACCCGCCGGCGATGATCCAGCGGCGGCTCTGGCATTGGATCCGTCCGTTGGCGGCGGGCGCCC